GGAGTTGTAAAGACTAAATTAACTGCTGTCTCTTCTCTATTTCGGTCTCCACGTGACCAACCACATTTGGATTTCTTTATGGGGTGCTCAGTGCTTAATTCCATGGTCCCCTTTTAGCCACCTACTACTGACTTCTACGGGGGGCGGGGGACTTCTATAATGTCCGGTTCCATATAGTCACCCTGCTGAGGCATCCTGTTTTTGTGTAAAAATAGATACGTTCATCATCCTACAAAATGTTGTATCTTCCCTAGATGGGAGGCCAGTGTGCTTGTAAGCGACGCGCTTCTGGCAGGAGGTGCAATCGGTGCCAGGATGGCTTCTTCAACCTGCACGGCCTGGATCCTGACGGCTGTAGGCCTTGCAACTGCAATACCTCGGGGACCGAGGATGGAGATGTTACCTGTCACCCACATTCAGGCCAGTGCACGTGCAAAGCAAATGTTATTGGTATGTGTAACGCGGGCGTTTCAGTCACATCTCCATTGCCATCTGGAATAAAATCCTCCATTTGATTTCTTAACGGAAGAGTAAAGCAAATCTCCTTGCTCAAGGCAGGCTGGAAAAGAGAGGGGAAAAAAACACAATCTGAACGAAATTAACTGTCTAAAATGATTGAATTAATAATTCTATCAAACTTCCGCTGGAAGCTTCCTTTAATCAACCCTTTAGAAGTTTCTGGAGTCAGTAGCCGCTGTATTTCACATGGTCCCATACTAATAAGTCATAGAAAAATATAATTTGCTTACCGCATAGATGTTTCTTTCAGAAAATTAGCACTTTTTCAAAATGGTTTCTACTTAATGAGTTCTAAGCAAATGATTTCCCTGCTAGTTTTCTTAATAGACCAAAATAAATGGATTTTTTTTCAAAATATTCTGTGCTACAGGGTCCTTTGTGATAAATCTTTCCATATTTTCCTATTATATTTCTTTGAACTGTTCCTATGAAATGCAAAATAAGTCAACATAACTCCACAGATCATGTATATTGCTAGGGTTAGTTATAAAGGGCCACATAATTTTAATTTTGTAATTCAGTGCCAAGCTGATTATAATAAACAGCCACCGTCAGTGTTATTTATCATTTTTTTATACGAGACGTGCTTTTTTGTTTGTTACTCCCACAGGTATTTTTCAGAAATTAGATTTGATTATAGCAATTTATTACATCCAACATTTTTGAGGGGAACCACAGCCACATAAGGACAAAATTTATCAAGTGCCCAAAATACACTGTGTACATAATGCACTTTGAAATTTTGATATATGAGAATATTATGTGCGGAAAGTTTCCTGATGAAGTGACTCTTATATTGTAACTGAACATGTCTCAGTTCGTATAGGAAGTTTAAAAAAGACCTTTGCCTTTCTATTGTCATTCAAGTCTTCCATCGTTTTTCTAACATTGACCTGAACCTAATAATAATAAAATCATGCCTAACAGTCTCACACACACACACACACAAACACACATATGCATACATACGTACACACATACATACGAACATAGCATTCTGAATAATCTGAATAGTTTCATTTGTTATGTAACACTAAAATGGATTTTTATATAGATATAAATCCATCATTTTATTAATTCAGCTAGATAAGCATTTCATTTTAATTTAATAAAAGAGAATATGGGCGTGTTTAATGGTATGACTCTAGGCTTCTCTGGTTTAGAAAAATATTATATCAGAATGTTAATGTAACTAGCCCTTATGCACTTCAAACATACAGAAACTAACTCCAGAGAAGCTGGATAAACGACTTGTGAAGGGAAGCACACTTTGTATAAGCGTTACCTGGGACGCTGGAGGAATTCTAAGACCTTTCAATTCATCTCTGCGGCATCCTCTGTTCTTTAACGTGAGATGTATTTTAAATTCAAATTGTGAAAACGAAACTTCAAGAAAGGCCTTTAAGGACAATGAAATAGTTATTTCTCTATACAATGGAGCCTTTCTCGTGGTGTTTAGGTTCCAGAGCTTAGGAAAGAAAAAAATCAAAATTTACTATTTACTTAGAATTTGTTATGACCTTCCTACCATTTACCTATTTTACTGGTTGATCCAGATAGTTTTCTGCAGGAAAATATAAGTATATAAATAAATATATATATATAAATATATGTATTTGAAGATGAAATCACCATCTTGATATTATTTCTAAAGTTATTCCTGCACATTTAGTATGTTTAATAAAAATATAAACTCCATATGCATAATTTTTTTTGATATTATTTCTAAAGTTATTTCTGCACATTTAGTATGTTTCATAAAAATATAAACTCCATATGCATAATTTTTTCCTAAGGGGAATTGATAAGTAACCTTATTCAATTTTACCTTGTTAATAATAATAATAATAAAACCACACACACACAAAAAAAAAAACCCAGAAAATACAAGTGTGTGTTGTATATGCTTTGGAAAGCAAACTGTTAGAGTTAACAAAACTGTTAAATCTCACTAATGATTCTATCACCAGTAAAATACATTAGCACCAATAATTTTATTAAAGTAGGTCATTCATCTAGAATAAAAAGGGAGAAGAATGTGAATTAAATGCCAAGTGTGCTAACTCGCCTGTACTTGTTAACACCGAATGTGATGCCCTGTAGGCCTTCCCAAGTATCGTTAGGAATAGATTACCTGTCAGGAATATGTATGGCATATTCAAATAAGCACTGCGCATATTTTTAAAACTGATATGATATGAATCCATGTAGACCAATTTTAATAGTTCAAAATGAGTCATAATTCTTGTTAACAATACAGTTATTTTTAAAATTTGCAGCAATAGTGGGCCTTTTTTATTTTCCTTATTGAAATTAAATGATATGCCTTAGGTGAGTCATTCATCACTGTTAAAGAACTCGCCTTCCATTGGAGTTCTTGAATTTTTATTCATACATATACATATATATTATGCATCTCCTTCCCGCTCAGGAAATGCTTTTCTACATATGAGTTCCTGAGTGTGTTTTTGACTGTTATTTTAGTACTAATTTTTTTTATTGCTACTAAAGCTTAAAATAAATGTTTCAATTGATTCAGCCCCACAGAGTCTGTTATTTAAATTCATGGATAGGTGAAAGCTATCTAAAGAAAGTATTTTGCATCTCAATGTTTACTATTTAACAATGTTTTTATTATTTTGCCCTGTAATAGTCTTTTTAAAAGTAACTTAAGTTGTCAGAGATTTAAGTGTAGTTGCTAAAACGTTTTTCCCCTGTTGGTGAAATATATATATGTACTTCTTTAAATAGGAGTAATCTAAACAGAATTTATTTAGTGTTTAAAGAGGTATGTTCTGAATCATACAATATGACAAGCAATGTGATTGCTTTATGAGCCAAGGAGAGCATAATTTATTTTAATTGAAAGTGATAAAATATAGGAGCATATAAAAGCATTGAAATAAAAATTGCTCTGGGTAAGTTTTATTTATACTAATTATTGAAATGTGTGATGTTTAGGAGTAAATATATATATCCTATTATCACCAAAATAGTTATCAGCTCAACATTTTCAGGGGATTCTGATTTCTAGGAAAATAACTATGCTGTTCTTCTGTATGACTTTGAAAATGAGTTTCCCCCTCTATTGTACATTTTAAATGAGCATGCTTTGTTAATATAAAATAAGTGAAAATGATGGTTTTACCATAGCTTTTAGTTTTAAAATAATAGTTTTAATATTCACTAAAGAGACGAGTTCTGGTATGTGTAATAGAGTGACATTTGCATTGAGCATTTCTTTTTGTGTTAAGCAATATACAAGTAAAAGTTAACAAAGCACCATACAAAAACAAAGTTGCATCGTCACCAGATTAAGTATCGCCATCCTATTTGGAGTCCTTGACTAGCCCTCCGTGGCATTCCTTGTGAGAAATCGCCCAGCTTTTGTGTGTGCGTGAAATGTCAGCGTTACCATTGCTTGGGCTTCTGCTACCTTGAAAGCAAGCTAGCATCATTTTCACATTTTCCTCTTTTTTAAAAACAAATTCCACCTCTAGGGCTCCGATGCGATCGTTGCAGTTTTGGATTTAAATTCCTCCGGAGTTTCCATGATGGTGGGTGTGAGCCCTGCCGGTGTCACCCCTTCGGCTCAGCGAGCAAACTCTGCGACCCTCTGTCGGGGCAGTGTGAGTGCAAGGCACAGGCCAGCGGACTCCGGTGTGACACCTGCCGGGAGCACTTCTATGGGCTGGACGTCACTGGTTGCAAGGCCTGCGCCTGCCACCCCGCGGGGTCCCTGCCCGGGACGGTCTGTGACGCTGGGACAGGGCAGTGCCGCTGCAAGCCCCACGTTGGAGGGAGACAGTGTGATGGATGTTTGGAGGGATCCTTCTACCTCCTGCAGAATAACTCTTTCCTCTGCCTGCCCTGTGACTGTGATAAGACGGGGACAGTAAATGGCTCTGTGCTGTGTGACAAATCAACAGGACAGTGTCCTTGCAAATCAGGAGTAACAGGTCTCCGCTGCAGCCAGTGCCAGCCTCACAGGTACAATCTGACCGCGGGCGACTTCCGAGGCTGCCGGGTGTGTGAGTGCGACCCCGCGGGGTCGTTACCCGGGACCACGTGTGACCCCAGCAGTGGCCAGTGCCGGTGTTTGCCTAAACGCCAAGGAAGAAGGTGTGACCAGTGCCAACCAGGTAGGAGGGAATCGTGCTGCCTTCTCAGGGCGCCGTGACCTTTCCGTCTTCATTCCATACTGGGCCATTCCTCTTTCTTACTCCGTTGAGGCCTCTAAAAATTTAACCCACAGCGTCAGTGTTGAGTTTATATCTTTATGCGGCACAGATACAAGTGCTCAATCTACTCAAGATCATGTGGCATGTTTGTCTGACCCTTAGATGAATGCCAGCCAATGACATTTCAGAATTGAGACTCACTGGTACTTAATTTCTCAACTTGAACTGAAGAGAGTGGAAAGGAGGAAGGGAAGAGAGGAGAGAGACAGAGAAAGAGAAACATCAATGTAAGACACCTGGATCGATTGCACGGGCCGACACTCTAACTACTGAGTATGCTGGGCAATATTTCTTTGTTTTTGTTTTTTGTTTTGTTTTGTTTCTGGTCCTACATTCTTACAGCTTCAGGAAGTATGTTGAATTTACTCTTACTGTTAAATGTACGTGGACAAAGAGAACTCCCTTATCATAAAGTATCTTTATCATAAGCAGGCGCTTCAAGGAGCCAGCTCTGCAGTAGGCACACTAAAACGCACGGCTGGAATCTTTCATTCTGTGTCTTTAAACATATCCGAGAAACCGGTCACATACTACAGGGGCCGGGGCACACCAGGCTGCTGTGTGTGAGCATGGGGCGTGGGGTGTGAACTGGCCAGCCAGAGGACTCCTCCCTGCCTCTTCCATCCGTAATTGTAAATATTACTGGCTTGCAGTAGACGGCTGCACATAGATTCCTGTCCCACTTTCTTAAAAAACATTATTAAAGAAGGTGTATGTAATGAAGCCTCATGTATTATTCACCTAACCTTACGGGGATGTACAAGGAAGAGGCTTAATTCAACTAAAATTTATAGGCAATTTGTTAAAGCAGCAGCGCGCATTAGAAGGTACATTAGAGCCCCATTGGTTTTAATATGCCATTCAATAACTTGAGCAGAGGTTAAAAATGCAGCTTAACCTCCATTAAGTATTTTAAAAATGCTTTAATTTAAAATTATTTGGAGTGTGTGTACATATATGAATGTACACATCCCCACGCTAATAAATATGGCACTAAGGATGTGTTCCCGGCGCACGTTTCCGTGCCGGGTGACCTCGTCGCGGGCAGCTGCAGGCACTTAGTCAGAGGCCAGGCCGGGGTAGCCGGGGAAGGATGGCACCCGCCGTGACCCGCCCGTGTCCTTGGGAACCAGAGGCAGCGAGGGTTTACTGAGGACTCTGCAGCTTCGGAATAAAATAAAGGCTAATTTATAATGGAAACAGCTCCACATGACACGTTGTGTGCTAATAGGACCGTTCCTCATGCTTTGCTCTGGTGTTTAGTTTTGCTTTTGTTGTATGATTCTTTATGATTCATACAGACTATTAGAAAGTAATGCCTACCCTCGCCGGTGTGGCTCAGTGAATAGAGCACCGGCCTGCAGGCCATCTCAGATTTTAAGGGGTCACGGCTATTCATTCATCCATCTACCCACCCATCCATTCAGCCTTCTATCCATTTCACTCACATATTCTTGTTTTTGGATAAACAATCTTTTGGATACATTATTCCACACCAGGGAGGATGCTGTATGCTGATGTAAGATATACAGTCATAAATATATTAAACTTAGGGTTGTATAAAGGTCTATGGTTTAGTAGGGGAAACTGACTTGTACGTAAATACAGCAGTGTGATTACTACAATATTAGAAATGTACAATATAAAGAATTAGAAAAGGATAGAAAAGGAAACAGACTGATTAATTCTTCAAGGATGGGGGATATAGAGAGCTTAGACAAGAAAGTGATTTCTGAGCTGAGTTTGATAGCAAAGAGAGGTTGGTAAGATACTCAAGGAGAGTACAGCCAAACAGGAAGAAAAAAGGGGAGCAGAGCATTCAAAAGGTATATTTAAACTAATTGAAAAGGAGTTTAGAAAAATCTTTTCAATAACAGAAATTATACCTTGTAATGAATGATATGAACATATATTTGTGCATTTATTGATGTTTGGTCAAATCTATTAATAATTTAGGCATTTTTATTTTCTTAAATGTTTTTATTGATTTTTTTAGAGATAGAGGAAGGTGGGGGGGAGAGAGAGAAACATCAGTGATGCGAGAGAATCATTGATCAATTGCCTCCTGCATGCCCCCTACTGGGGATCGAGCCCACAACCAGGGCATGTGCCCTGACCAGGAATTGAACCTTGACCTCTTGGTTCCTAGCTCAATGCTCAACCATTGAGCAACACCAGCTGGGCCAGATTAGCATTATTTTTATATAAAACTACCAAATGGAAGAAAATTATTACTGCCTTAATGTGAAGATTAGGATCATCTACGCTACTTTATTCTGAAAATATTGATTTGTAAAACTGTATCTAAGCTGGTCTTTTGTTACCTGACAGAGAGGAGCCACAAATTCCTCCCTAGACTCTTTCCTTAATATTGTGTCCATTCTCTGGCTTACGCTGAGAGTCGTTACTTCTAAATGGCTTATAATTAGCGCTTAGCCTCAGCTCTGCCCTCCTTTTTGGAATAAGGCCTAGAGGTTAAACTTGTTTTCTTCCTCCCATTTTAAGACCTCGGTAAAGCCTCGTTGTTCATGGTCCTCGGGAGGAACATTGCCAGGAAATGGGCTCTTCTTTTATGCCCCGGACAGGTACTGTGTTGTGCAAATAGCCACGACAGGAGATAACACCGGCTGTCTGGCTAATAACTTTGAACTCTAAGCATTCTGTAAACCTCCTCCAAGATAAAGCAACGGGATTTTATGATCCGGGTGACTTTTTTGCTTTAGCTGCAAAACACATTGTTTCCCACAGGAGACTAGTCTTGCTTGGGACCAGGGGTTAGCTGAAATAAAACTGGGGACGATAGTAACCTCCAGTGGGCTGATGTGTGCCATGGACATGTACACTCGCAGCACTACGCAAGGCATAAGGGAATGGCATTGGCCTAACGACTGGGCTTCGTGTTAAGTGTGCAGCACAGAATCACTCGTGGAGAGAAACCTCAAAGAGATCAGTGAAAACGACACAGACACAAAGATGGGGAACATGAAGTGGAGCTAATGGCGGGAGATCAGAAATGCATTGAGTTCAAGGCGAGACATTAAGGTCAGTTATCTTTGAGCTGCACCCAGGAGTTGAAGCTGAGGGAGGAGGGAAGGGGAAATGGTGTTTTCTACAGTGAGAAGTCATAAAGGGAAAGGTAATGGTCTGTTCAGGTAAGGCAAGAGGTACTCATTGGACAGGAAGGTACCTGAGTCATCCTAATTAGAACTGCTTAAAAATAGGACAACTGAAATACTGGTGGGATTAGCCTCTATAATCATGCTCCTGAGAGGAGGAGGGGAATTAACCCCCGACAATTCCAATCTAATCTTTTCCTTGAAGCTCTGCCTCGAGGTGGCAGCCCCCCGGAGGTGTTTTAATACCTTTTTTGTTCTTCTCTGTGTGCTGTCTCTGGTTTTTCCTAGGCGTTCTTTATTCTCCAAAACTTGGGCATCCTAATCTTCTGCACCCAAATGGACCCTCCTGGTCCTTACAGAGTTCTCTAATAAATCATTTCTTGTAAAAATTATCCTTAATTGTTCTAGAGTTCTCTGTGGCTCAAAGCTATTGCAATAAGTCTAAGTTAATTCTGCTTCTAAGTATCTCTGCTAATGTGCAATTTATCCAAATTGGAGAGCTGTTAGTACATTCATGATGCTATCATCATGGATTTAAGGACCTGGGTACCTTCACAGGAAGAAAAGTACACAGAATCAGAGCCACAGTGATCCTGAATCCAAAATCAAAGTCTCCCAAATTTGTGACTTTGGTCACATGATAAATCAGATGCGAGTATACACGTTAATTGGCATGGCCATTTGTTATTTCTGGAAAAACACATATGTATAAAGAGAATTGCTGTCAGTGGATGCAAAGAAGCAAATGACATAGTCTAGTTGTAAATGACAATGAAAGTGACAGTATTTGTTCTTTTCAACTGAATGGCACAGATTTGGACCTTCATTTTTCATTCTCCTTGAGCTCATACTTTTCTATTTTACTGTTCCCGAAGCTTTGTAAGAGAGACTATGCAGGGACTAGAAGATAAGCCCATTGGTGATGGCTGTGAAAGAATGGCTATTCTCAACAAGAGCCTTAAATGAGTCTTGCAGTGTTGCAATCACCTTTTGGTCCTCCCTCAAGAATAGGTAACACAGTGTGGATTCACTCAGTGCGCATTCTCTCTCTCTCTCTCTCTCTCTCTCTCTCTCTCTCTCTCTCTCTTTCTCCCTTTCAGTATCACTGATATTTTGTATCTTCAAATGCATGTGCCAGACATTT